GATGCCTCTGTGCCTCTCCCCACCCAAAAACCTCCCCTGAACTCTGCTTTGCTGCAGAACATCAAGACGAGCCAGTTCTGCTACTGCTCTTGCCTGGGAATTGAGCAAAGAGCACCAACCTCTTGCATTTTGGGAGAGGAGGAAGCCCTCCTTTCATCTCATCTCCTGCCTTCCCTCTCCTTTCCTTCCCCAGGTCTGAGTTTCTCCTGCTCATTCCCACCCCAACACCCAGTCATTTGGTCCTTCTGGGCTGTGTCCCATCTCCGTGCCCGTTCCTTGGGCACCCCACTCTCTGTGCACTCTGGCATGCAGCCGTGAGCAGAAATGACAGACTGGGGGACAAAACTCGAAGCCGGTGGTTCAGAAATACTTCTGGAAGCCGCCTTTTCAGGGACACTCCCCCCACCCCACGGCATATGTAACACTTGCAGAGGTTTAACTTTTTTTCTGTACACTCGCTCACCTCGGGCTGTGGTCCTCTGCCGACCAGCTGGACACCTGGGCAGATCCCGCGCCGTCTGGGAGTCTCCTTTCCCGAAAGCTCCGCTTTCCCTTGCTGGGCTGCCATCAGCAACACTGGTGTCTGCTGCTCTCTAGTGGCCTCCGCTCCCAGCTGCACCCGCTGGGTCAGCTTGCTTGTTGCTTACCCCTGAAAAAAAACCCCAGTCTGTTAGGTCAAAACGGCTTTTCTCCCGTTTTCCATTCCCGTGGGTGAGCCGCGGCGGGGACCTTCGGGTGTGGGATGGAAAACCTTTCTCGCACAACAAAACCTCAAGCCAGGAGATTGCTCGAGTGAGTGCCTGTGAGGGGCTGGCAGGGTGGGGTATGGAAGGGAGGGGAGATGCCCGAACAGCTGAAGGGACATTCTGGATCCAGCCCCCGGCTGTGCCCTGAGACAGATTTGACTCCAATTTAGGCCTTATTAGTTTTCAGGGTGTGCAGTGGTGAGCGACAAGCGAGATAAAAGCTGAGGAAAGATCAAAGCAGATTTCATGGGTTTTATGGCTTTGTGCTTCTTGGTTTCACTTTCACGTGTCTCCCAAAGCCTTTCTTCTCTCCCTGAGTGCTGCCCTTTCATCTCCCTCCCCATTTCCACCCGGCAGGCCAGAGCTTGCTGGCCTTCCAGCATGAAGCATAACTTGTGTGCTCGACCCAACTTTCCTTTCATACCCCCCGAACGCGAACTGGGTTATTTAGCCCCAGACAGCTCCTTTCAGTATCAATTCCTGCTGAGACTCCTGTCCCTAGCAGAAGCTGGGCTCAGGTTTCTCTGTGTCCTTCGAGATCATCTCTGGGCACAGGGCTGTGGTGCCCAAAGTGCTGATTCAAGGGGTGCTGGGTTCAAGAGGAAAGCTTGAGAAGGGGCTTTCCAAGGGGTGGGAGGGCTGCTCATTTCCCCAAAAGACATTAGTATTGCAGCTTCCCTCTCAGTGCAGACCTGGATTTCCCCTCCTTACCATGTGCACTTCTACTTGCTGCTGGAGAACAGTTGCTCTTGGCTTGGGGCTTTTTTTTTTTTAACATAGCTACTCCTGTGGTGGCTTGTGGGTGAAATGTGGGGAGCGCATCTTCCCCGAGGAAAAAAACAAGTGGGGAGACACCTGGCAAAAAGAGGATAAGGAAAGGCCTCAAAGCATTAAGTGGACATGAGTAAAAAAAAATGACTCTGGGTTATTCTGCGAGCCAAGTAATGTGGAGGCAGCTTAATTATGGGCTCAGCTGAAGTGGAAACCACTAATAACTGGAAAAATAGAAAATGTTTAACCAAACTTGTAGCTGCATTTATCAAGACGTCAGACTCCAAGGAGAAGGGGAGGAGACTCTGCCATAACACTCCTGGGAGATTGGTGCTAGGAGTTTTGGGAAGTGTTTGCCTAAACAGGTTGCCCAAACAGGATATAATTTGGCTCCAGAAATCAGAAGATGCTGTCAGGAGGCTGTTCCCTCTGGAGGGGGAACCTGCGGACCATCTTTGTTGTATTTGTGGCATCTCTTTGGTATCTCTCTGGTCCTCTCCACCCAGAGGTCTGACTGTGAAAACTCATGTGACTCCTTCCATGTCCTGGCAATCCCAGGGTCTAAGTCCTTTTTCTGGTCTAAGCACTATTGCAGCATCCTCTTGGTACTCCAGGGAAAGGTGCTGGGGGTTGTTGGGGGCAGAAACTTCCCATCCTGTGAAGCAAGATCTAGCTGGAGGAGTTTCCAGGAGCATGTTAAGCCGTTGTGAGTTAGACCTGGATGGTTTTTTGGACTACTTTGAGAAGGAAGTGCTAAAAGCCAGAGCCCTTCCTCCCAGTCACTGGAGATGCAGAGAACTCCGGGTTGGAGTGGCTCTGACTCTGCAGGGGGAGCAGCAAGGCCCCCCCACCAGGGGCACAGCTGGCTCACAGTGCACTCGCTTGCTGTCCGCTGGCTCCCTCCCCTCGCAGCCCGACTCCGTGTCCCTCCTCATCCCGCTGCATCCATGGCCGGGGGCTGAGCCGTCGCCGTCACGGCGATGCAAATCTCCAACGGCGCCCGGGCGCTCCGCGGCACCTGCGGCGTCTAGACCGGTTCCTGCGCCCACATGCAAATGCGAGGGGAGGGAACCGGGGCCCACGGCCTCGGTGGCACTTTGCGGGAAAGCCCTGGGGTCTCCCTCCTGCCTCACCTCACCCGTGGCAGGCGGCGCGGTGCTTTCGGCCGTCCCGCTGTGCCGCAGGGATAACGCCGCTCCTCGGCTCCGCTTTTCGGATTGACTCGCACCAGAAACAGCTCAAGAGCTCGGCAGGGCTGGGGGGTGCCGGGGTGCTCCCCACGGTGCTTTTCTGCTGCAGGCTGACGCAGCGGTCCGGGGCTTTTCTCCTGGGCTCGCTCGGTGCCATTTGCATCTCTGGGGTGGCCGGGATGTCCCAAAAACTGCCCCTGCTCCGGGGCTCGTGCTGACGTGCTGCTCAACACCTCCTGCGGCTGTCCCTGCTGCAGAAAGCTGCTCCACAGGGGTCCTACGGCTCGGGATTAACTGGGGAGGCAGGAATGTACGTCGCAGGTCTCCAAGTTATCCTTAGTTCCTCTGGTTCCTGCTCTGAGCCTTTCTCCTTCTGCCTTATCCCATCTCTTTCACATGTCCCTCTTACCATCTTCCCTGTGTTTGGACAGATAGATTTAAAAATGCCTGTAGCAGGTTTCTCACCTGCTTGCAGAGGTGTCACTGCTCTGCTGCCTCATCACCAGCAAGTCTGTTCATCTTGGCTTGAAAAAGTGACTGAGCTCGGCAGGTCGCTCAAGCAACCTAATTTTGGGCTGATTTCGTTAGGTTTTGGCTAATTCTGGTGCTCTCACACTGAGGCTGAAATAGGTGTGGGTTTCAGGTTTCGGTAGGAGGCATCTTTATCTTATCTTTGAAGCAGGTACAGGACCACAAACCGCAGCAGTGAAGATTGACTGCAGTTGGGGTTTTTTGGGGGAAAATTTAAAACAAAACCCCCCGTAGCTGTTTTTTTTTTTTTTTTTTTTCTCCTGCAAGGAGTCCTGGGTGAGCTGTGGGGAAGGGAGGGGTGGGCTGAAAAATTTTTGCTGTGATTTAGGTGCTGGGGGAAGGATTCGGCAGGTGTAAAAAACCTGATAAAAATAAGATTAAAAATGACTGAAACAGAAGTCTTGCCTGCAAAGGTGCAGCTGCTGCAGAAAATAGAGAAGCTGTGAGGATGTTTTGTACATGTTTTAGTTGATGCTGTCCTGGATGAGGCCACAGACCAATATGTGAGAGCCCCTCTTCCGAATTCCTGGCATCTAGGAAGCAGTTCACTTAAATATAGCGGCGGGTCAGCTCCTCACTCCCCTTCTCCCTTTTCAAAACTCCCACTGGTGTGCAGAAACATCGGCCACCGCAGCGACTGTGGCTTTTCCTTCCTGAGAAAACACCACAGCGCTCCTCAACTGCATGTTAGTCATCCATCAGAACCAGTGGGCTGATTCGGAAACCCTGGTGTGGCAGCCAAGTCCTCCTTCCTTGTCCCCTCCACGCTGATTCTGCCTTTCCCACCTGGACAGATTTTGAGAGAATAGCTCATGGAAATTTTCCCTGGCCTCTCCATGACCCTGGTGTACAGGGAGTTAAACTCAATCATCTGGTTTTGGTCTTGATCTCTTGAACAAGGTCTTCACAAGACTTTTGTACTTAGAGGAAAAACCAGGTTTTCAGAGAGAGATGAGCAGCTTGAGTGGAAGATTCTTTTTTTTTTTTTTTTTTTAAAACGTACCCTTTTGTTACTATATAAAATGCTGATGCAATTTGAATGCTCCAAATTACAACATTATCATACAAACCACATCACTTTTCTTGTGCCCTCTTCCTTCCTCCTCGCCTGCCCCCTTCCCCTTTAGCTTCCTGGCTGGTGACTTTGCAGACTTTATTCAGGGCAGCTTCTGTCCCATTGACATCCAAGGACATGGGATGCTGCTGTGGCAGTCCTGGATGTGTTTGTGGTCCAGCCAAGCATGAGATCTGAAGGGTCTGAGTGGCAACAGAGCACAGATCTTGATTATTTTTCTACAGCGAGGCGTTTTTGCTGATGAAAGGGGCAGCAAAAATAGCACGGGGAAAATGCAGCCCTAAGAAAGAAATATGTAAATGTCTGCGTGCATTAACCCCCCTCCTGCTCAGCCAGGGCTGGCGCTCTGGTTTTATTCTGGGCTTTTTCATGTGGTTGAGGGGTAAATGCTCAAGGGAGCGAAGGGTGATATGAGCACAGACCCAACAGAAACTGGGTGTGGGGAATCCAGATCTGCGCCTCCTCCCAGTGGCAGGTCTCGATCGATCACATTGTCCCTTCAGCCTCTGAGGCGGCTGTGGGAGCAGCCGAGAAATGATGTCACCCCTCTCCATGCTCTGCTGGCTGGCTGTTGACTGCTCAAGTGTGACCCTTTTGCCTGAGTCGGAGCGTGACTCTCCCCAATAAATAAGGGTGTTTGTGCGCCCGGCTCCTCAGAGCGTCCCCGGGGCCGATCCTGCCGTGAGGATGCGAGTGCCGGCTGGGGTAGGGACGGGAGCCCCTGCGCTCCCGTGGCTGCTGCTGCTGCTGCTGCTGTCCCACTTAGCCCACGCAGGTGAGATCCAGGTGGCTTTGCTGTCAGCTCCCTGCTGCGGGTGGGCATCACTCACATCCAGGGACTGGAGGAGATTGGGATTTTCCTGCCTGCTTAGCTGAGGGAAAAAGTGTGTCGTCCTTTGCTGGGGTCTGGTTCAGCTTTCAGGAGCTGTGTGGGAGCAGGGAACTGAGGTACAGGCATAGCTTCTTACTGTGGTCCCTACAGTGCTGTCAGTGAAAACATGGAAAGGGAAACTTCCCTTGGCTCTGGGAACTGCTGCATCTCCAACAGCACAGTTAGTTGCGCTGTTAAGTTGCCCCGTTCTCTCTCTGCCAGCCATCCTGGAGGTGAACGGGAACCTGAGCTGTAGGTGTGCCAAGGCAACCTCGGACTACATCAGTCCCAAGAAATACGAGAGCATTGAGATAAGGCCCGTAGGAAGCACCTGCAGGCGCACGGAGATCATGTAAGTGCTGTGCTTCTGCCGCCATCCTGCTTCCACGCTGCCTTGCTGGAAACCTTTTATAAAACTGCTGCTGGCTTGCTCCCTGCTGCAGGACCCAAAGGAATGTTTTCAGCCAGGGAAAGTGGGATTTCCTCATGCTGGTGCTTAGCGGGGAGCGTGCTGGAGAGGAGGTTGTTTGCAGCTTGGAGGGAGCACATCTTTAAACGCTGAGCCATAACTAATTTTCCCAGAATTCTTTAACTGCTAAGCATTGATACATTTATAAATCTCCATAAAAAAAATTATGTTTGAACCAAGTTCTGGTTTTCAAGTCTCTGCTCTGCACAGGAATGTGTTGCATTTTCCTTGTTCCTGGCCATCCCATGGCTTCCTCTGTCTCTGGCTGCTTTCTCTGGTGCTGTGAGCAAAAGCTGACTCTTGCCCATCAGCTCTGGCTGCTTGATTCCCTGCGTTTGGGGGGGACAGGAATGCTCAGGAGCTCTCCTTGCGTTTCAGAATTAAATTAAGAGCTGCAGGGAAGGTGTGCGTGAATCCCGAAGCCCCTTGGGTAAAGAAGCTGCTGAAGCGTATCGCCAGCACGTGAGTTGCTTTGATGGAAACCCCTTTGGCTCAGGTGGCCTTGGACAGCATTCCAGCACATCTGCATTCCTGGGAAGCGCTCGTGGATCTGGGGGGCTCTCTGGGTGCTGCTGGTGGCCAAGGGACCCGCTCCCAAGGCGGTGAGGGGGCAACTCTTTGCTGTGCAAGTTCAACACGACCCGTCCATGGGTCATGCTCTCCCTGGCTTATATGCACAGTGCTGCATTTCCAGAAACATTTTAGAGGAAAAAAAAAAGGTGGGGAGCAATGGAAGGAGCAGGGTTGGCTCATTGCAGGTGCAGTAGTGTGTCAGTGCTGAGCTGGGAAACCGCCCCACTCTGTGCCCGTGCCGGGTTCGTGGCTGTCCCAGCGAGTGACTCCCACCCTGGGGAAATGGCAGTGGCTTCCTTCGCTTGGGGCAGGAGCTTCCTCCCCAGGACCTGCTGTTCTCGGCATTCACACATTTCTCCTCCTTCTGCTTTTTGCAGGAAGAAAAAATAAGTTTCCTGCTAAGGAAGTTGATGCCCAGAGCCCCGAGATGGGCTGGTGGACGATGCCCGGGTGTGCAGACCTGGCTGCTCCTCACTTTGCCCTCGTTTCCCCGCCTTCCTGAAATCCTGA